CAAGTGCTTAATTTCCAAAATATACAAACAGCTCATACAGTTCAATATAAAAAAATAACAATCAAAGCCTTCCCTGCTGGCTCCATGGAAAAGAATCTGCCTGCCAATGCAGGAGACACGAGTTCAATCCCTGATCCGGGAAGATCCCACATGCCACGGCGCAACTAAACCCATGTGCCACAACAACTGAGCCTGTGTTCTAGAGCCCAGGAGCTGCAACCACAGAAGCCCATGATCCACAAGAGAAGCCACCCCAATAAGAAACTTGGGCACTGCAATTAGAGAGTAGCCCCCAGCCTCCGCAACTAGAGAAAAAAGCCCATGCAGCAAGACCCAGCACAGCCAAAAATAAATAAATAAAATTATTTACAAAACCAATCCAACCAAAAATGGGCAAGAGACGTGCATAGACATTTCTCCAAAGACAACATACAGATGGCCAAAAAGCACATGAAAAGATGCTCAACATTGCTTAGGTATTAGAGAAATGCAAGTCAAAACTATAATGAGGTATCACCTCACACCAGTCAGAACAGCCGTCATCAAAAAGTCTACAAATAATAAATGCTAGAGAGGACTTGGAGGAAAAGAAACCCTCCTACAATGTTGGTGGGACTGTAAGTTGGTACTGCTGCTATGGAAACATTATGGAGTTTCCTTAAAAAAAAATAAAATTCAACTTACCTATAATCCCTTGATCTTTCTCCTGGGCAATCTTTTATGTGGAAAAGATGAAAACTCTAATTAAAAAAGATACATTCATCCCAGTGTTCACTGCTGCACTATTTACAATAGCCAAGTCATGGAAGCAATGTAAATGTCCACCAACAGATGAACAGATAAAGATGTGGTACATACATACAATGGAATATCACTCAGTCATAAAAAAAGAAATGTTTAAATAATGCCATTTGCAGCAACATGTATTGACCTAGAGATTATCATACTAAGTGAAGTAAGTCAGAGAAAGAGAACTGTTGTATGGTATCACTTATATGTGGAATCTAAAATATGATACGAATGAACTTATTTATAAAACAGAAACAGACTCCTTGACATAGAAAACAAACTTAACAGTTATCAAAGGGTAAGGCACAAGGGAGGGATAAATTAGGAGTCTGGGACTAGCAGATGCACCCTACCATCTATAAAATAACAAAGTGTTAGTCGCTCAGTCATGTCCAACTCTTTGTGACCCATGGACTTTAGCCCACCAGATCCTCTGTCCATGGAATTCTCCAGGCAAGAATACTTGAGTGGGTTGCCATTTCCTCCTCCAGGGGATCTTCCCGACCCAAGGATCAAACCTGGATCCCTGCATTGCAGGCAGATTCTTTACCAGCTGAACCATCAGGGAAAATAACAAAGGTTTACTGTATAGCATGGTGAATTATATTCAGTTATCTTATAATAACAAAAATGGAAAAGAACCTGAAAAAGGATATATATATCCATCCCCTGGCGAGGCTCCTCTCAGTCCTCAGGGCTCACCTCTGCTTCAGTGAGCCAGCCTCCATGCAGGCTGCTTCTGTGCCTGTGTGCCCTTCCATGCCATGCCCGCTGCCTTCCAGTTGGCAAAACCCTCCTCCACTTTCCAAGGTTTTGTCCAAGCATGACTTCTTAAGGCAAGCTTTTTCTACCCTCTACCCATGCTGCCTCACCCCTCTATAAAATCAACCCCCCCTCCTTTGCATTCCAATAGAGCTCACACATTGCCACTCACTTTACCATCATGCAAAATACCAGGCTGGATGAAGCACAATCTGGAATCAAGATTGCTGGGAGAAATGTCAATAACCTCAGATATGCAGATGACACTACCCTTATGGCAGAAAGTGAAAAACTAAAGAGCCTCTTGATGAAAGTGAAAGAGGAGAGTGAAAAAGTTGGCTTAAAACTCAACATTCAGAAAACTAAGATTCTGGCATCTGGTCCCATCACTTCATGGCACATAGATGGGGAAACAGCGGAAACAATGAAAGATTTTATTTTCTTGGGCTCCAAAATCACTGCAGATGGTGATTGCAGCCATGAAATTAAAAGATGCTTGCTCCTTGGAAGAAAAGCTATGACTAACCTAGACAGCATATTAAAAAGCAGAGACATTAAAAGGTCTGTCTAGTCAAAGCTATGATTTTTCCAGTAGTCATGTATGGATGTGAGAGTTGGACTATAAAGAAAGCTGAGCACCAAAGAATTGCTGCTTTTGAACTGTGGTGTTGTAGAAGACTCTTGAGAGTCTCTTGGACTGCAAGGAGATCCAACCAATCCATCCTAAAGGAAATCAGTCCTGAATATTCATTGGAAGGACTGATGCTGAAGCTGAAACTCCAATACGTTGGCCACCTGATGTGAAGAATTGAATCATGTGAAAAGACCCTGATGCTGGGAAAGATTGAAGGCAGGAGGAGAAGGGGACAACAGAGGATGAGATGGTTGGATGGCATGACTGACTCGAAGGACATGAGTTTGAGTAAACTCCAGGAGTTGGTGATGGACAGGGAAGCCTGACGTGTTGCAGTCCATGGTGTCGCAGAGAGTCAGACACAACTGAGCCACTGAACTGACCATCGTGGCTTACTTCAATACATTTCAATGTTGTGTGTTACTTGTGGGGGTTCAATATCTTGTCTTATTCAAAACTGTCTCTGCCTGGTCCTCCAGACCTTTTCCACATCAGAGCACATAAAAAATGATAATATTTAGATGGCAAGAGGCTGCCACTGAAAGAGACCCACATGTCGGCACACCTTTAATAACCCAGTCAAAGCTTAAGCAGTCCAAATGAGAAGCTCTGCAGGAAAGACCCTCATTTAATATTGATTGGGAAAAAAAGTGAGTCAAATAAATCTATTTATAGGATTAAGAAATATCTGAAGTTAAGCAAAGATCCCAAGAACGAAAGGAATGATCCTATGGCAGGGGTGGGGGGGGGGCACATAATCAAGACTGAATATGACCTCAGCAAAAAGATAAGATTGTGGATTTCTTACCCAGGTGGTCAGGGTCTCCTTGACCACTATTAGACTCCAGCCCCAGGCTGACCCACAGCATTGCCTTCCATGCACCTCGTCTCTAATCATTCAGACTGCTGGCTCCCTGCCCATCACAACTCCCTCGCTTACCTGCCAAGTGTCAGCCTCTGTCTGTCTTGGCCTCTCTCTCCCACCCAGCCTCCTCTCTACCCGTGTCTCCCACTAGCTCGACAGCTGCCCACGCCCACGCCCGCCTCCACGGACACTCCTCCGCCCCACGGACAGGCATGGCCTCTCCCCGTCCACGCTAGCACTGTGCCTGTCATCACAGGCTCCGCCTGAGTTCTTTTTGTCTCCTGTCCTTTCAATGAAATGTGCTTCCTGTGGTTGAAAACAGTCCTTCTCACTCTAGCTTCCCCTCCTTTACCTGTAACAGGTACAAATAGGTGTACAGGGCATTGAACTAAACTTCCCAAGTGGCTGTGGGACGACCGGGTTCCTGTGTAACAGGGAGACGGGGGTGTGTGCTGTCCAGGGCAAGGCCAGGGTCTCAGAATCTTGCAGAGAGCCAGGAAATATCCCTTGGAGTAAACTGTACTTGAGTGTTTAAAAAAAAAATTCTTTCCTTATTTGGGAATTCATAAATGAAATTTATTGAGGGCAGGAGAGGGGGGTGACAGAGGACAAGATGGTTGGATGGCATCACCAACTTGATGGACATGATTTTGAGCAAGCTCCAGGAGATGGTGAAGGGCAGGGGAACCTGATATGCTGCAGTCCACGGGGTTTCAAAGAGTCAGACACGAAAGAGCAAATGAACAATAAATAAAATGATCCTATACTAAACAGAACCAGAATCACTGTCCCCACATCCATTATTTAACTGACATTTTGCATAGTAAGTTTGGCCCGGAGGCCTGGGGAGCAGACCGGGGTGGGGGGAACCTGAGAGCAGCAGCCCCAGGTGGGAACATCCATTGGAAGAGAGGTTCCCAATTAATTCTGTGCAGCAGAAACTCCTGCAGAGCTGCAGGGAAGGTGGGGGAGAGAACAGAGGTCAGGGCTGCGCTGCTGAAGGATGGAACTGACTGACCCTGGGGCCTTGCCTTTGCCCCTAGGGGGCATCCACGGGATTGGTCAGTATCAGCTGCCCCCTTCGCCTTACAGTTTCTGAAAGGGGACACAGAGGAGTCAGTGGTTCCTAAAGCGAGTCAATACATGCAGATTTCCTGATAGCCCCTCACTCAACGAAGGTTTACCGCCCTGAACCAAGGGCCGCCCCTGGGATGTGTCCCGATGGTCACACGTGCACTAGGATCAAGCCCCATCCTGACGTTTCCACGCTGTCGTCGGTTGGGAGCATGTCCAAACGCTGGGGCTTCGTCAGAGGGGAACAGACCCTTCGAGCATCCTCTGTACATGGAATGGTAATCCCTGTGTCCTCTGTCCCGCTCAGCCAGGCCTCAGGCTTGTCGCTAATCCATGGAGTGTCCTTGCATGTGCGCTGGAAGAGGCCCCATTCCCTGTTGTGACTAGGGACTGCCTCTCCTCCTGGGTTCGGGGACGTCTGCTCAGACTAAGAAATCTGATCTGTCTTCCCCCAAGCCCTGCAGTCTTTGTCTTCACTTCAGAATTTGGAGAATGAAATTTCTGTATGTATGTGTATGTGCTCAGATGTGTCCGACTCTTTGCGACCCCACAGACTGGGCCCCACCAGGCTCCTCTGTCCATGGGATTCTCCACACAATAATACTGGAGTGGGTTGCCATTTCCTCTTCCAGGGGATCTTCCCCACGCAGGGATCGAACCCCTGTCTCATGTCTCCTGCATTGGCAGACGGGTTCTTCACCACCAGGGCACTGGGAAGCCCCAGTGACATTGCTGGCGTTGCTTTATTGCCGAGACAGTTCTGGAAGTTTCCAACCATCAGAAAGTGTGTTTCCTGTTCTGTTTAGCAGTGAATCCCCGTTGCCAGGTGGACCCCCAGGCCGGCACTGATAACGGTGTCCCCTCTTGCCCCTGCAGGCACAGAAGGGGCACAGGAAGCGCCCTAAACTCGGCAGGGCTCACCAGGCCTCAGAGCAGAAACCTGGCTCCACGTCTTCCCCGGGCGCCACTGCGCAGAGCCGGACCCCAGGCCGCCCGCAGCCACCACTGGACGCATCACACCCGGGGCTCGGCCAGGCAGGTCCATCTACCAGGCACCCGCAGGAATTTGCCAGGCGTGCCACCTGCCCTCCCAGCCTGCCCTGGTCTTTCCAGAGAAGCAAGTCCTTGTTTTGTCTGCCCACCGGAGACCCCTCCCCGGCCAACGCGGCAGAAGCGCAGCGGTCTGCAAGCTCAGGCGGCGGAGGACAGAGGGCGCCGGAGCGGGGGCACGGCCACCTCCTCTCCATCGATGACCTGGAGGGGGCCCAGGAGACGGACGTGGACACCGGGCTGCGGCTCTCCTCCTCCGACCTGTCCGTGGTCTCTGCCTACTCGGCACCCAGCAGGTTTTGCAGCCCCGAGGAAGCACCGCGCCCCCCGGAACGAGGCAGCGGCCTCTGGTCAGAGCGCAGGGGCTTCAGAGAAGGACCCCTGCCCACTGGGGGCGGCGAGACCACGGGGGGCCCCTGGGCCACCCTCCCTCTCTTCAAAGGGCCTTCGGGCTCCTCGGCCACAGCCGTCACCGCTCCCCCAGCTTCAGACACCTCCTCGCTCACAGAGTCACCCCGAGAACACCCTTCCCATGCCCCCCAGGCCGGGCAGACTGGCAGAGACGTCCCAGCACCCTCAGTGCTGGCCGGATGCGGGGACAATGACACGGAGGAATTCTACATCTGAGCACCCCCCACTCGTGTCTTTCAGAGCCACAGGCTCAGGTCCCACCTTGCCCTTCTGGGGTCTGGTGCCATCGTGTTCTCAGCCCAGCTCCCCCAGGCCCGTCTGGAGTCTGATGATCTGTCTCATGGGTCACTAACACCCTTGCAGGCCAGCCTTTCTCGCCCGTGAGGTGGTGTATTTCTAGGGGCTCAATGGCATTTTAAGAGTCGATAAAGACACTGGGATTTTTATGCAAATAGATTCTCAACAAACTTTTAGGTCATAAAATATATTTTTTAAATACTCAATTCCATTTGGGATATGGTTTAATGCACTTACCTAATTTAAATGCTTCCTATAATTATTTGAAAAGAAAACCTAGTCAGCTGGAGCTGATTGCACAATTTTTCATGACATGAAGGAAAAACAACTAAAGCCAAAATGCTCAATGTGAGAAAGATAGCAAGCAACTTGGAGGAGAGGTCAGTGCTCGTGATGTATACCTTAGTGGATTCTCCGTTTCTGTTTACCCTACCAGGGAGCAGTGGCCCTGAGGATTTCTAGGAACTGTTACAGTGAAAAGAGTCACCTTAGTAAAACAGTAGATATATAATCAGACTATAGTAAGACCTCACTTCAGCACTCATATCACTACAGTGATGCCACGCACCATCCAAAAATCAGCATTTATGCAAAAGTGGCTAATAAGCTTTATACAGATTGAGCCCAAATAACAGACTCTTGGTACATCTAAAATACGATCTGAGCTCCAAGAACTAAATTTAAATGCACTTTTCAAACACATGCACTGTAACAAGTCGGGAGTCTACAAAAGACCACTACCTGGATTTATTTGGACCACTGAGGATAGATCGTTCATGCTTCCATGTTTAAATCCACAATTTAAGGGCTATCTAGACAGGTACATGTAAATGGGCCACTTTTTATACTGCTTTCTCCAGTAAACATGCATTGTCATTTTTTCATTTTTAAACAATTTGTAGCAGTTTTAACTGGCGTTTTCATGGCACTGAGTCATAAATGCCCTCCCCTGTTCTCCAAGTGGGAAGCTTTACACAAGATGCCGTCCTGAACCAACACTGCTGCCCGTGTGCAGAGGAGCCTGAGTTAAAGCTGGAGCTCTGACCTGACCTTGGTCTTGCCTGTGGTCGCCTGCCTCTGTCGCAGCGTGAATGGTATTCAAATCTCGCGTCTCTCCCACTCCAGCAAGGGAATGTTTACAATCAGCAGTGCCAAGTGCTGGCATCAGGAGCCACACCAAGCTGTCCCTGGTTGCCGTGCACCTTTGGAGAAGAAGAGTGTGGACTTGCCGAGGTCCCGTCCCACCCTGGTGCTCCTCGCCTGGATGACTCATGGCCCAGTTTACACCTCCCTGGAAGCATCCACACCAGCCTTCAGAATCCTCCTCAACACAATCCTCCCAGCAGCCCTCACTAGTCATCACACTTGAGCCAAAGTCTTTGCTGTCCCTGTAATGAGAACCTTCGCTCCTACCCCGAACAGCCTGGACACTCCAGGATTGTTGTTGTTTAGTCACTAAGTTGTGTCTGACTCTTTGTGACCCCATGGACTATAGCCCGCCAGGTTCCTCTGTCCATGGGATTCTCCAGGCAAGAATACTGGAGCAGAGTGCCATGCCCCCTCCAGGGGATCTTCCCAACCCAGGGATCAAACCTGTGTCTTCTCTGTCTCCTGCATTGGCAGGTGGATTCTTTACCACTGAGCCACCAGGGAAGCCCTTTCAGGACTACAGATGACAATACTGTACTCTGATTTAATTACATAAAATTATGATCTTTTATAATTCTACACCAGGAGTGAGCAAACTTTTTATAAAGGGCTAAATAATAAATATTTTAGCCTTTGCCAGTCATACGGTCTCTGTCGAAACTACTGAACTCTGTCATGATAGTGTGAAAGCAGCCAAGGATATGTAAATGAAGGGAAGCGGCTGAGTTCCAAGAAAATTTATTTTACAAGAACAGGTGGAGGGTCAGATTTGGCCTGAGAGTCATAGTTGGCCAGCCCTTGTGTTTGACTGAGGTTGATTTGAGACTTGAGATCTCAGCCACAGTCAATGATGAAGAATGGAGGTCTGCATCCCTTTGTAGCTGTGATGCCCAAGACCAAGAAAACACGCTCCTGGGACCACGCTGATGACTACAGAACCACAGGGCTCAGAGCAGTATGGGGCTTCTTTCTGCAGCAATGATGCCTAGAAAGTCACTGGCTTTCTACCTGCTGCTAGGAAATGGGACTCACAGCCTGTAGCTGAGGATGCAAAGCAACATGCTAACCATTCAGGTGCTGACGTAGCCCCCAAGGACCAGGAGGCAAGCTCAGGACAGTAAAGTCACTGGGGCATCCATGAGTGGAGCCAGCCAGGCGATGGCTCCTCCAGTCTTCACCCTTCAGCAGCACCCTTAGCTCAGAACATTCACACCCACACCCTACGGATGCTTCGGAGCCAATTCGGATGCAGTCTGCCTTCACCCTTTCTCACTGACTCCCCCACTGCAGCACAGTGCAGTCTACCAAACTGAGCGCCAGCAAAGGGTGTCAGCAAACCTCTTCCACAACAGGAAATGCAAGATGCCCCCGTAACACAAGAAGGGAGAGAAGACCGCACATCCTCACTCAGACTTGCCCCTCCCTGCAGACAGCAGTCTCTCTGGGGAGGAGGGGCTCCAGAGGCACTCCTGGGGCTCAGCTCCCCTTGCTGACCCACCTCCAGTGCTGTCCTCATCCAGGAGGGCTCCTGATACTCCCTGGGGAATCCTCTCCCTTTCAGATTATTATTGTGATAGATGCTTGCCGGCATACAGTAGGTGCTCAATAAATTTGTTCAATTTTTAAAAGCTGAGGTTATCTCAAATTATTTTTCTCCTGGAAAAGAAAATTCTTGATGGAAGATCTGTATTTTAGCTGTAGTTTCTTGTTGTTTAATGGATAACATGTCTCCTTGACCTTGCATTTCTCTCCCCAGCGTTGCCCCAGGGGTCGTGTTAATAAGTGCCCCAGTCTAGCTCACAGGCCATCCCTTACTTGCCCCTTTTCCAAATAAGACTCCCCAAATTGCTGCTTATGGTCCCACCGTGGTCTCCCACCTGTAGTGTAGTAGTGTTAGTCGCTCAGTCGAGTCCGATCCTCTGCGACCCCATGGACCAGGCTCCTCTGTACATGGAATTCTCCAGGCAAGAATACTGGAGTGGGCTGCCATTCCCTTCTCCAGGGGATCTTCCCAACCCAGGGATTGAACCCGGGTCTCCTGCATTGCAGGCGGATTCTTTACTATCTGAGCCACCAGGAAGATCCACCTAGTATCTACTAGTAGCACTACTGAGTATCTACTTTAAAGATCAAATGTTTCTTGGGGGTCCCTAATGGACCAAGCTCAAGCCCTACAGAAACCACCCTGGGTCACTCCAGTTGGGTCTCCCATGGAGGAGCGTGGCGAGCCCCTGAAGAGACTTTTGTGATGGTGGAGGGGTTGATGTGTGGTCAACAGAGGGGTGGTAGCACTGGGGGCTGCTTGATCCCTGAGACCCAAGGACAGGGGTGCAGTCACGTGGAAGCCTGCTGAGCTGCACCATCCAGCGCCTTCCGGGTGAGGCCAAGTGTTTACTCGTATCAGGAAGGCCCTTGAGCCCATGGCTGATCTCTCTAGCCCCTCGTCAAACAGGAGAAATCCAAGTACTTCCTCTTCCCCTCCTGGGCCTTCTGTAGATGAATGAATTCTCCAATCCACCAGGTAAAAGGCACCTGAGTAGACTCATAGAATTTCTGGAAGAGATTTTTCTAAGAGCAAATAAAACTGTTGAGAGTTTCTCCCTCGCAAGGCCTCAGAGCACCCAGAGCCACTTCTGGCCAGTGATCCCAAGTCCAAATTTCAGGAGAACAGTGGAAAGCTGGACGGCCGCCTCCCCGCGCCCCCCACCCTCCCGACCCCCACCCCTGCCCAGGGTTACATTGCTCCACATTCCTGGTCTGGATATAAATACGCCCCTCAATGATCTGCAGTATTCCACCCCTCTTTAATTCTCTGGAAACACAACTGATCAGATACTGTTAGACACTTGAAGAAACAAGAAATTGACATGAATAAAAATGGCTTCTCAAAGGAAACATCTTTTGTCACAGTTATAACACATGGATTCAAGAAGAGTCAAGAACCTGAATTTAAAGGTTTTTTTTAGAATTACATTCTTCCAGCTTCCACAGAAGGCTTTTTTACAAAATGGCTTTGAATGACATAATTTCTCTGAGTGAATAATGGGAGCAAACACTAATGGAAATTAATGCTGGCACTCTTGGGTCTTTTTAAAAGTCAGTTTCTATTGCACAGGTGTGATAACTATTGTCCAGTTATGTGCCCAACATTAGGGCAGTATGTTCATTTCAGACCGAAGTCACCAGGCACCGGGGAAGCTGAAAAGCCCCTTCCCCATGCCCCCATAACACACCCCCCCTAAACTCTCCATTTGTGAGGAGGGTCCCACCTCCCCTCCCGCTCTCCCAGATGGTGTCACTAATGGAGCTGCTTCCATGGGGGTTAGCTCTGCCCAGGCCCTAGAACTATAGCCAGAGCATTGTGGAGAGGAGCAACTCGAAACGTGGTTAGCCCAGTCCAAGAAGTACCCCGTTATACAGAAACACTTGTAGGCCAGATCGCCTGGCTAAGGATGGCTGCAGGAAAGCTTTGGTGCCACCTAGTGGCCACCTTGCCCAGGAGGGCCAGTGACTGCCCTTTGCTTTGCAGAAGACTCCGCCCCGAAGAACACTGGAGGCGCTTCACTTCCTTTTATTATTCTGCATTTAATTATTTTATTTCCACAAGGTATTGAAGCCACTGAAATTACAGTGACATAAGACAATGCAAAGAGAAATAGGAAATCGGGGCTAAGGGAAAGAAAGAGTAGAAATATGCCAACAGTAAAGAAAACTGCTGCAGATGAATTTCCTAGAAGCCAAAGCAAAAAGGGAAATGTGAGCAGCTTAGTGGTTCATGTTTATTAATTAGAAACTCTAGTGACACTGCCTTATTTCATTGTAATTTAAGTTGACTCAATGCTATGTCTCAACAGAAACCAAGTTTTTCTTAGCAAAGAAACTAAGAATTAATTCACGGTTACCAGGGCAGAAGGGGTGGGGAGGAGGGATAGATTGGGATTTGAGGGTTGACATGTACACACTGATGTATGTAAAATGAATAACCGGGCTTCCCTGGTGATCCAGTGGTTAAGAATCCAGCTTGCAACGCAAGGGACATCGGTTCGATCTCTGGTCCCAGAAGATGCCTCAGAGCAACTAAACCCATGTGCCACAGTTATTAAGCCTGTGCTCTAGAGCTTAAGTCTGTGAGCCCTAGACTCCATGCTCTGCGACAAGAGAAGCCGCTGTAATGAGAAGCTCATGCAGCACAACCAGACAATAGCCCCTGCTCGCTGCAACTAGAGAAAACCCTGCTGCAGCAATGAAGACCCAGAACAGCCAAAAATAAATGAATATTTTAAAGAAAAAAAAAGAACAACGACAGGTGAGCTCTGCTTAATATTCTGTAATAACTGAAATGGAAAAAGAATTTGAAAAAGAACAGATAACATGTATATACATAACTGAATCACTCTGCTGTACATCTGAAATGAATACAACATTTTCAATCAGCTATACTCCAATATAAAATAAAAATAAAATCACGTTCTCAGAAGGGGGTTTTCATGAGGGATTTTCTCTGTAGGGTGATGATTTTGGTCCAAGTTGGGAGCTTTCCTTGACTGAAGGATGGAGTTTACAAAGGCTGGAGGAGTGGATACCACCTCATGCTTTGGGTGAGCCTCCCTGGACATCTCCAGTCACTGGCCCTGGGCAGGAAGCCTGGAAGCTGGCCTCCTTCGGTCTCTTGAGACCAGATCTCTTTGGCAAATGGAGAGCCACTGATGAGACTGACATCCTCCTGGGAGATACAGGCTCTACCCGTGGTTCTAGTCTGTGTGGCTAGAGAGCCCTTGTCTAGCCCCCTGCACCCTCATCCACATTCTGCCCTTCCAAAGTCACCACCAAGACTCTAATTGCGACCCCTCATGGTTAAAAGGCCTTCTAGCACTTTAAAAAAGTGTGATTTGCAGAGTCCTCTCTGACTCTTCGAGACCCTGTGGACTGTAGCCCGCCAGTCTCCTCTGCCATGGAATTCTCCAGGCAAGAATACTGGAGTGGGTTGCCATGCCCTTCTCCAGGGAATCTTCCTGATACAGGGACTAATGAGTTTCCTGCATTGCAGGCAGATTCTTTACCATCTGAGCCACCTGCGAAGCCCTTTGAAGCCCTTTCATAAATCCCCTCAACCCACCCTCCACTGAGATTCCTGAAAAGTGATAAGAATTCAGTTCCCTGCACCTCTTTCTTCATTGGTCTGAGTGGATTTACTTATTCATTCAACAATATTTACTAAGTCCCACTATGTGTTGAGGCTTCCCAGGTGGTGCAGTGGTAAAGAATCTGCCTGCCAGTGCAGGAGATGCGAGAGACATGGGTTCGATCCCTGGGTCAAGAAGATCCCCTGGAGTTGGAAATGGCAACCAACTCCAGTATTCTTGCCTGGAAAACTGCATGGACAGAGGATCTGGTGGGCCACAGTCCATTGGGTCGGAAAGAACTGGACACAACTGAGCGCACACACAGGCACCCTATGTGTCAGGCAGTGGACTATCTGTGCCTTTTTTTAAAACTTTGGAATGGCCAAAAAGTTGGTTCTGGTTTTTCTTTAGGAGCTTATGAAACCCAAATGAACTTTTGGCCAATCCAATAATTTCTAGGAGAGATTTATTTGAAGAAATATTACAACATATAAAAACTACATAGACTCTTAATTTCCACTCATATGCTGGTAAATTCAGTAAAACAATAAAAAAAACTTTTAAGATCCAGGATGCACAAGGTACTGCACGGTTTGATCACTAAATCAAATCAGGGGACAAACAAACCACACAGAACAGTTTTGTATCAGCCCAGGGGACCTAGGATTGAATGGGAGAGACATCATCTCCTATTAACCCCATCATTACTAGTTATTCTTCCCTGTAGATTTTACAGGACTTCCCTGGTGGCTCAGATGGTAGAGAATCGGCCTACAATGTAGGAATTCCAATTGGGTTCAATCCATGGGTCAGGAAAATTCTCTGGAGAAAGGAATGGCAACCCACTCCAGTATTCTTGCCTAGAAAACTCCAAGGACAGAGAAGCCTGGTGGGCTACAATCCATGGGGTCACAAAAAGTCAGACACAACTGAATGACTAACACTTCACTTCATAGATTTTACAATCCTCCTAAAGGATCTAATACAGTTACATATACAGAGCCTCAGGTTTTGGCATCAGGTTAACCTGGCTTCCCATTCTGACCCCACCACTCACTTTGGAAACCCAGGGCAAAGTTAATTAACTTCTCTGAGCCTCAGTTTTATCATTTGTAAAATATGGATGACAACACCTACCCTGGAGGATCGCTATGAAAATTAAGTTATGTAATTTGTGTGGAGGGCTTCCCTGGTAGCTCAGCTGATAAAGGATCTGCCTGCAATGCAGGAGACCCTGGTTTATTCCTCAGTGGGGAAGTTCCCCTGGAGAAGAGAGAGGCTACCCACTCCAGTATTCTTGGGCTTCCTCGGTGGCTCAGACGGTGAAGAGTCCGCCTGCAATGCCGGAGACCTGGGTTCGATCCCTGGGTTGGGAAGATCCCCTGGAGGAGGACATGGCAACCCACTCCAGTATTCTTGCCTGGAGAATCCCATGGACGGAGGAGCCTGGTGGGCGACAGTCTATGCGTTTGCAAACAGTCGGACACGACTGAGTGACTAAGCAGAG